GTAGGAGTAATGCATACTTGCGCATGCCTTCGGAGTAAATACATTTGTTTTAGTTACTATTAGAGAAGACTTTCAATTTGAATAAATTAATAATTGATGTTAAGATTTGTATTGCGTTAGTATTTTACCATGTAATTTCTATCATATCTTAATACCTTATTGTCATGTCTTTATAGAAGGATGCTCACAGGGAATGATGTCAATACCAATTAATTTACATTTTAAAACAGTTTAATTAGCATTATCTTTTTTAAAGATGGTATTTCATTTTTGGCTTTTCAAAAATTTCAAAGATGTTTTTGTGGGGTTCTGTTTTAAAGCTTGATTCCCTTCGGTAAATCAACACGACTAGATGAACCTTCTCCCGTTAATTCCATCTCTTTACCTTAAAAAAGAACATAACCTAATTTATGCTCCATTCCATCTAGTTATCTAAAAGAAGAACATGACCTAATTTATAGGTTATGTCCCATTTAATAGATGATTTTTTAGGGTTTTCTTTTTTGTTTATCTAACTTTTTGTGTTAAAAATACAAATTAAAAATAAAATAGTTAATATTTTATTTTCTTTTAAAAAAGTTGCACTTTAATATTTTATAAGTTAGTGTTACATGTAAGACTGTTATTAATTAGTTAAAAAAGATTATAGTTAAAAGTTGAAATCATGTGATATCACATAAAATTCTAAATTGCAATCAAAATCCCTTATTTCACATTACATAATTGTTAAACTGATAGTGAAACCAATATTTTGATTAAAAAACTCAAAAAAAGGGGTCAATTTTTAATTCTAGTACATGATAATTCGTTATCCAAACTGTTCTTTATTTTCAGCAAATGCAAATATTTAGTCCTCATTTTAGAACAATTAAAGTTTGTGCTCACAATTTTAATTTGATTAAAGTTCATGTCCTATTTTTTTGAATGTTTTGAATTTTTAGAGTCTACTTGTCAAGTTTTCTTTAAAAAATATAATGTCAACTTTCACTAAATATGAGAATCAATAATATTATCTTCTAAAAAAAAAACTTTAACTGAATGATTATTCATTAATTTAAAAAATTTTATTTGAGCTATTAAAATTTAAATTTTTATATTGTTAAGTAGTTAACTTATTATACTAAAAAAAATTCATTTAAAAAATTAATTTTACCAAAAAAAAATTTCATTAACTTAAAGAGGAAAGGTTTTTTTTTTTATAGATTTTTCTATCATATGCTTTTAATATAGAAATTATTTTAAAGATGCAATTATCACACTTTTTAATAATTAAGTTGGATAAAAAAA